GTCCATTATCTACCACCTGTTTATTAAGCACCGATCTGTCTATGCATGTGTACACACAGAGACACATGAGTACAGCTTCTGTTGTGTGTAAATTATGAGAGTAATGTATATTCAACGTAGAAAATAAAAACAGGACATAGGTAAGCGGGATCTCACCATGCACAGATCAACTGTTAACCAGCTCAGCCTTTTCATTAGGGTTCATTCATGTTTTGTTCTTAAATTTTTGTTTTGTATTTTAAAGGCATTTTCTTTTGGGAAGTATTTGCTTAATACAGTAAGAAATACGGAACAAGTTTCTACACTGATATTCAGCTCTTGGCTTCAAGTCTATGGAAAAGCAGTGTTTTGTTTTGGCGAACGCGTTTTTGCCGTCTTTTCCCTACCTGTTTCCAGGCTTACAAGAGTCCCCCTGGCTCGCATTTGAATTCTCTACCTCTTACGTGGCCCTAGATTCTGTTTTACAGCCGGGGACCTCTTCCCATGCCGACAGCTTCCCTGAGGACAGACTTTTGGGCTTCCCGGATGCTGCCTGGTCCTGCAGGAGGGAGAATGGAGGGCAGTGAGCCTCAACTTGAGGACTTCCACCAGGCTTCCTGGACACCCATTCCCATCCTTAGATCTGACACTAAGGAAGGTCTCTATGGGCCCAAACTTCAAGGGGGGCTCTGAGGTTGGCAGCACACCCGATTGTACCCTGAAGACAGCTGGCTGCTGCCCCTGCTCAGCCCTCACGTGGGACGTCCTGGTTTTCTCCTCCCTCTGACATCCCAAACCTCCTGGAGATGCCACTTGAGAAAGTCCCCAGGACCATGGAACCTGGAGATTGGGCCGAGTGGCTATTGAAGAGCCCTGGCATGCCCAGGGCTGGAGAGCCTGAGTGGGGGGGGCTCTTTGGAGCAATATTACTTTCATTATTTCCTGTTTATTTTTCTCATCTTCAGAAATCCTAGAGTCTTTAAGAAAGGTTTTGTCCCAAGTCTGCTCTTGTCAGGTATTATTTTATTTCAGTGAGGCAAAGGTTATATTGCAGGGAAATGCAGACATCACATTCAACGCAGATGAAGACAGGCAGGAGACCTAGTCTGGAGAATTAATTTAAAGGACACAACCTGTGACCACGGGCAGCTCCTGGGAAGGTGGAGGCACCTGTGGTTAGGAGGCTTGGAAGGTCACAGGATCGATTTTCAAAAAGAATGAGGAAACCCAGGTAAGGGCCACAAATATGTCGAAAGGGGGAGGTGACTGGGCCACTCTGAGGTCATGGATGACCGGTGGGGGGGGCGCGGCCCCATGGGCGTGTGAGAGACCATGGGAGGTAAGGCTCGGCACTGCAGTGCCCTGTGTCCTGGGGCATTCAGAAGAGAAGGCAATGGGGTTGCCGAGCAGGGAGGGCCGCCTCTGTCTGCCAGCCTGCATGTCATCGCACAGAAGTTCTGTCCCCACTGGTTCCTTCCTGGTGAACTTTCTCTCTTATTTGAGAATGAGGAAATCAGAGCTGTGAGACTGGCTGTGATGTCTGTACTCACATGCAGGGCACACTTCCCATCTGACTCAGCTGTCCAGGGCAGCATAGCTCTGTCCTCTCCACAGAAGTTCTCAATCCAGCAGGAGGGATGACAGTTACAGAAGGCACTCAGAAGGCAGAGACACTCTGCGATGGTCCTGCCACAGGTCTCTCGGGAGCTTTCTCAGTAGGTTCCAGAAGGAATGAGCTTGCAGGGCCCCATAGGTCAGAGCCCAGGGCCGACACAGGGGGTTCGTATGAGAATCAGAATGCCAGGCAGTAACATTACCTGTGTTTGAGACTCACGGAGAAATCCGTGCACAGCAGGGAGACACCCCAAACAGCAGGTTGTGGCCTGGGAGTGAGCAGGGCCTCTGTGCTCAGCTCAGAGCGCGCACCTCATCCAGCAGAGCTGTGCAGCCAGGCCTGGTCACCCACAGAGCACAGAGAGGGCAGCATGGTGGCTGTTTGCAGCACCTATCTGTGGTTTGAATGTAGCAGTAGGGACCCAAATGCTCCCTGTGCTATTATAGCTGTGTATGTGCCGGGCTGTGACTGTCCCGTCTCCTCCCGCTACTGAAGACCTTGTCCTAACTCAAGGTGATGGTATGGAGAGGTGAGGCCTTTGGCGTGTGATCAACCTGCGGGGACCCTGTGTGACTGGATTAGTGCACTCTTGTCAGTGAGGCTGAAGGAGCAGGGCCCTTCTAAGATGTAAGGAATAGGCCTCACTAGACGCTGAACCTGCCAGCACCTTAAATCTTAGACAGCAGCCTCCACAACTGTGAGAAATAAGTTTCCATTATTTATAAATCGTCCCATTTCAAAAACTTTGTTATCAGCAGCATAAACGGACTAATATACCCAATATTTCAGAACATGTCCCTACTTGGAGACAAGCCATGGCGGAGGCTGAGGTCACAGGGGAGTAGGGTCGGCCTCAGTGTAGCGTGACTGGTATCCTTATAAGAGGGAAACTCTGGGCGGTGCCTGTGGCTCAAAGGAGTGTGGCACTGGCCCCATATACCGGAGATGGTGGGTTCAAACCCAGCCCCGGCCAAAAAAAAAAAAAAAAAAAGAAGAGGGAACTTCCGACACAGACAAAAGAGACACAGAAAGAAGACGCCTGAGGCTGGAGGCTGGAGGAGGCCAAGAAGGGCTCTGTGGCAGAAGAGGAAGCCTGGCCATCAACCGAAAGAGAGGAAATTTCGGTTGTCTACACCTCCCAGGTGTGGTACTCTGCTATGGGGCAGTCCCAGAAAATGAATATAGCTCCATGTCCATGTGGCAAAGATCTTTGAAATGAACCTGGAAGGCACATGCCTAAATCATGAAAGTGTAATCACTCTGGGGAAGGGGAATGTTAACAAGGGGTGCACAGCTGGCATCTGACGTATTATTCTCCGTGCTTTAAATGTTTTCCTAAAACAAAGGGGCAAGCCTTACAGGTGAGAGAATGGGAAGATGAAAGCCACGTAAGGATGTGGAGAGATGAAAATCCCCATGAGAGCAGAACAAAGAACCTCTGAAAAGGGAAAAACTGGCCCCACACAAGTTATGCCAGACAGTTGTCACCGGCAGGGCCCAGATAGTCCCTGGCATTCGCTGCTGCCTTGTAACCTCCCTGGGGAGGATCTCGCCTGCCTCTGTATCCAAAAGCTCGTGAGTTGGGGGGACAGATGGGACAGTCCCTGCTGGAGGCAGAGCCAGAGCCGTGGCCTACATCTCTGCTTCCCTCTCTGGCTCCCAGCCGTGTGGGCTCTCAGGCCCCACTGTGGCCAGCGGTGGGAGCAGGTCACACAGATGGCATTTGAGCACCTGGCTCCAGGCTCTGTTTGAGGCCCCTCTGTGAGCCCGACCTGCACAGCGGACCATTCAGACCTACTTACGAGCTCAAGGTTGAGGCCGTGGTTTAGTTTGGTGACTGTGACCCTCTGGAGGGCAGGAACCAAACCGTAACCATGTCTGTGTGCCCCCAGGCTTGGCACTGTGTTCTGTGGGAACACCCTAAGAATCAAAGCAGAGTCACGGATGCTGAGAACCTCTTGACAAGCAGAGCTGGGGAAGCCAGGAACGGGGCCTTCCGCCTGCTAACATTAAGCACCCTGGAAAAGCTGGCCTCACACAAAGGCCACTGAAGCCTTACACAAAAAGTACTTCTGCAAGAATGTCTGCCCACCGACTGCCCGCCCAGCCCTAGACGGCTGTCCCCTTTGTTATTGTTCTTTGTTGCCCCAGATCTCAAAACAATTATGTAATCCTCCTGGTTTTCCCTTTAAAAGCCCTTGTCTTCCTTTTTCTCCCTGAATATGACCTAATAGTTGACTGTGGCACATGTATTCCCACGGCAATACCCTACTCCGAATAAATTTGAGAACCTCTGTTCCTTAGATGGACACTGGCATGCAACACCCATTCAACAGGTGCTGAATTCTGTTCAGCTAGCTGGGAGGAAGAGACAGTGGTGGCTGAGAGGAGCCTGGTGCCCAGCAGGACAGTATGGTCTCTGAGTGCCTTTCAGCACAGGACGTCCAGGTCCACTCCAGCCCCAAATGGCTCTGGTCGCAGCAGCTGTAGATGTGGGAACAAGTGGGTGTGAAATGCCTGCCCTCATCAAAGGGCCTCCATCGGAGGAGGTAACCGGGAACAAAGGACAAGCCTTGTCCCAGCCAGGCCAGGCCTGGGTGACACTGCCCACCAGGGCTCAAGTTAGAGCGTCCATTCTTCTGAGGTAATTTCGTACTAAATCCCACAGGCTAAAAAAGCGTCTCATGGCTTGTCCTACCAAAAAAAAAAGGAAGGAAGATTTCAATGCGAGTCATTGCAACCTCCCAAGTAACATTTTCATTCTAAGTTTTAATTAGGGAAGCCTGTAGGCTTTTCATACACAAAATAGGGTAAAAGTCTTCTTGCAAAGGTAAAATAAATACATAAATAAAAACAAAACCCCGTGCTAGAAAGCGTCCCCCACCCCAGCCTCGCTAATCAGGCACAGTGAGTCTCGGGGCGGGCTCTGCAGCCGCTCACTCAAGGGAAAGTTCGGACGGTGACGTAGGTTGGGGGGCTCACACGTGTGCACCCGCAGAGACGCACTTCATCTCAAGATGGGGTGGTAGGAGGAAGCAGCTTCACCTAAGGGGAGCGGGACGAAGAGCGTCTCCAGCGCTCGCTCCGGGACTGCACCGCTGTGGTCGGCCCCTCCTTCGCCGCTCGGCGAAGCGGCGGCCCCAGCGGTCCCGGCCTCCGCGTTAGACCAGTTCGAACAAGTGGGAGAGGCGGAAGGAGCTCGGGGAACTTTCACTCCCCCACCACCCCCGCCACGAGCAGTCCTCCGCGCGGAGCTGGGACGCTCCAGCTCACCCTGGGCTGGAAAGGGCGGCTTCATCCCGGCGGAAGAGCAAAGTCCGGGGGGCGGGGGCACCCGGGAAGGGGGCGGGGCCGGGCGGTCAGGGGCGGGGTCCAGGGGGCCGGCCGCAGCGGGCCGGGCACTAGACGTGGGCTCTCGGCTGGGTCTCAGCTCCTGCTCCCGCGCCGAGACGCGCTTCCTCTCTTGCTTCCCCAGGAGTACAGAGAGGAAGGTCCCTGCGAGTTCACGAGAGTTCGGGGTCACTGCTAGCCTTGGGTCTACGGCCACACCAACCCGAACGCGTCCGATCTCATCCGAGAGTCCGGGATCCGAGCGATCTCGGGGTCAGCAGCCCGCTCCCACAGCTGCGCCCGGGGCGCACGAGCGGGCCAGCCACGGGCAGGGGCCGCGGGGCACAGGAGGGGGCTGCCTGCGGGAACATGCGGAAGCCCGACGGGAAGATCGTGCTGCTGGGAGACATGAACGTGGGCAAGACGTCGCTGCTGCAGAGGTACATGGAGCGGCGCTTCCCGGACACGGTCAGCACGGTGGGCGGCGCCTTCTACCTGAAGCAGTGGCGGTCGTACAACATCTCCATCTGGGACACCGCAGGTGAGGGCGTGAGCCCCGGGGTTGCCTTCGGAGGGTGAGGGAGGGGCTTCCAGCAGGTGTTCCACAGAGACGGCGACCTTCAGGGCAGCTGTTACCCAGGACTGGACGCCTGGGCTGCGCACAGGGGCCCGACCTCTGGCAGCAGATACCCTATCACTAGGAAAGCAACCCAGCTCCAAGGAGAACCCACGTGCTACCTGTGTACCTACGCTGCCCGGGGCTCCAGAGCGCCGCCTCCCTGCGCACACCTGCTTGTGGGGACGCGCCTTTGTTGTTGTTTTAGCATTTTCAGTTTTTAAGTATCCTCAGGAGCATTAGCTCATTGGATAGTCAGAACAACCTGGAGGGGTGAGCAAAGCTAGTATTATTAGTCTTTCTTTTTACAAGAGAAGAAACTGAGGCACAGAATGTGTCCCCCACCCCCCTGGGTTTAGTGGAGACCAGGAGGTAGAACTGGGGTCTACGGACCTTCATCCAGAGCAGATTTGCACTCTACAGTTTATTTGCTGGCTCTGCTTGGCCCTGGCTCACATACGTGTATATGTCATGTGGGCCTGGAGTGATTTCCTGTGGAAGCATTTTAAAGATAGATAATGAATTATTTTTAGTGTGTATAGTCTTAGTGATTTTTCGGATAGACAACTCAGAGGCTCTATTCAAGCTTTCAGTTTAACTTTGGAAGTAACTCTGGTGAGTATAGTGTTATGATGGAATATATTTCCTTCCCCGTAAAAAAGAGGAAGGCAGTACCTGTCCTATATAATTGCAGAAGCTGGAAATAGTGTAGCACATTTTTTTGAGTTTTTGAAAGCCTGAAACTTTTAGGTTCAGACTTCTTTTATGTCAGCACTTTAAAAAGTCATATACCCAAAGGTCCTGTCCAGGATTTTTAAATTGCCATCTTGGGTACACCAGTCTGCTGAGTAAACAAAATTATAATGAATTCTCTATTTAAAACGGAATTAATGACGTTCACCCGGCACTTCCATCCCTCCCCCTCCCTTTGCTTTCTTTGATGCTTTCTTTTTTGTTATTATCTCAGTTAACATCCTGACTCAGTTATTTGCAGTGCCCCCAGGTGCTCCTGGTGAAGGCGCACCCTTGACTTAGGCTGACTCCTCACCCTGAGCCTTCCCTAAGGCTGGAGGGCACACTCTGGGAGCCAAATCCAGCACCAAATCGGTGCCCTTGTCTGCCAATTTTGCACAAAGCTTGGCCCCTTGGCCTCTTTTTTCGGCTGGGTGGGCTTCACTGCTGCACTGGGTCCATAAGATGATGATACAGGATTGGGCAGGGGGACGGGCGGCAAGAGCCCTATGGAGGCCACACTGCAGGCAGACTCTGGCCACTTGGGGTGAAGTTTCTGGGACAGACCCTTCGCTGGAGGGTAAAGGGTAGCACTTTCATTGTGACCAGCCACTTCCTTCTTCGGCGCCAAGGACGTGATGCTGCCAAGTCCTGAGCGTTGCAGGATTTTGTAAGCGTGCTGATGTGATGTCCCAGATATCTTGAAGGGCTCCCAGGGCGGCAGCTCATTTCCTGGCAGCCGGGGCTGTTGCAATCTTGTTCCTGGAACCCCGAATGAAAGCTCAGTGGAGCACGGTACAGTGCTGGCCTCCTGTGTGCACGTGCTCAGGGCAGCAGGGTGCAGTCGCCCCTGTGCCTGCCTCCTCAGGGGTGGGCTTCTGGGGGGAAGAGGCAGAACAGGTGCCTCTTCCATAATCCTTGTGGGAAATTCAGAATTTCACGCTTGGGGTCCCTACTTTTCTCCACCTTCCGTCTGGCTCTTACACTTGCTGTCCAACCCACAGTGTTTTCATGACGGGGGAAGCCCAGCTTTCAATGCTGCTTTGGGTCACAGGAGGCGGGGGTGTGCGGTGTGCACAGGGCATTAGGGTGTCTAAGAGTGAAACAAAAATGATAGAAAGCCCGCACTGGATCAAAGGCCCTGTTTTAGTCTGGGTGTGCTTTTCCACAAACACCAAGGACCTGGCAGCGGCCAAGCGGGCTGTGGGAGGGGCTGGACAGGAGAGCAGATTAGCTGGGGAGGGTAGGACTTTGTCTCACCCAGGGGACGGAGAGTCCTTCAGAGGCAGGTGTGAGTATTTGCACATTAGAGACAGATGCTTGGAGAAGTTAAGTGGAGTTTACCCCTTGGTCTTTCCAGGTCCAGGCCCAGCTCACCACCTCCCTGTTGAGTCTAGGTGGGCAGCAGACATGGACTGGCCATGGTGCCCAAGTTGGCAGGTCCAGGAAGCGAAGGCAGGTTGTCCAGAGAGGAGACGGGGCCCTAAGAGAATGTGCCGCTGACCTCTTCTCTGTCACCAATTGGTCAGAACAATATAAAACGGCGCTGCCCACCACCAGCAAATGTCACCAGAGTGTCTCCTCTGCGCCGGGCACTGTGTAGGCCTCACTCTACGGCAGCGAGTGAGCTAGGCCAGGGCTCATGGGCTTTAGGTTCTGGGTGGGGGCAAGCAAGGCAGTAAATGACATAGGTGCCCATCAAAAATGTTTGAAGAAAACACAACAGGGCCCTTGTGGATGCCACGTGGCCAGGGTGCTGGAGACGCCTTGCCCTCCTCTCTCTGCCCTGCTTCCTCAGGCTGCAGCCCTTTGACAAGGCTGACCTCTGAGTCACATTGCAGCCCAATGCGGACCCTAAAGGCTGCACCAGAAAAGCAGCTAACAGCCCTGAGCCCTCAGCCAGCTTCCAACTGCTGGTGCAAGGTCTTTGGGGACATGGGGATGGGTGAATGTATTTTGCATGTGGAATGACTTTGTATCTCTGGGGCCCAGAGGGCAGGCCAAGATGGATTGATGGCCCCCCAGAGGTGTCCTTATCAAAGAGCCCTCCGTGTGATGGGTGCTCTGACCTTTGCTCCCTCGGGCCACACCACACCTTCCTCTCTGGAGCAGCCTTCCTGTGGGGGGGCTCCCCACTGGACCTTTCCGCAGTCTAAATAGCTATAAATTTCCCAAAGTAGTAGGTCTTCTTCTTGCTCCATGGGTCTTCCTCAAGGCATCTCCTTCTTCTGCATTTTAACATAAACACAAGAACAATGGGGCCGGAATGAAGCCCGCCTTCCCCATTTGGCTTGGGGAACTCCTGCGCTGAATACCCAGCTGGCTGCCCACAGGCTCTGCCTCCCACAAGACTCAGAGCACAGTGCCAGGAGCTTTCTGCCCCTTGCCCCTCTCCACCATCTCCAGCACCCTCAGGTGTTCTCCAGGAGGATGTGGCTTCCTCTGAACCATCCCCACGTAGCGCTGATGTCAGCTCCCACTCTCAGTCTGCTCACGGCCGCTTCCTCTGAACCATCCCTGCATAGTGCTGATGTCATCTGAACCATCCCTGCGTAGTGCTGACGTCATCTGAACCATCTCCGCATAGCGCTGATGTCAGCTCCCACCCCTAGTCTGCTTGTGGCGATCTGGGCCATTCCTTGAACTCCTCAGACTCTTCTGGCCTCTGCCCATTGCCCAGTTCCAAAGCCACCCCCATGTCCAGTGCAGTGCTGCCCACACCCGGCCCCAGATCCATTAGTTTCCTATTGCCATTGTGACAAACCCGTCAGCTCACACGTTGTAGATGGATCTCTCACTTGGGGCCAACACCGGCATGCCAAGGGGACTTCGGTCCTTTCTGGAAGCTGAAGAGAAGAATCTGTCCTTGACTGTCCCAGCTTCTAGAGCCTGACCTCTCCTGGCCTCTTCATCCTCTCTCTCTGCAGCCTGCAGTGGCTGCTGGAGTCTCGCCCAGCACCACCCTGACCCTGGCTGTCCTGCCCCCTCTACCACACTGAGCGGACCCATCCTGACAATCCAGGGTGACTCCATGTCTTAAGGTTGGTTGATCCATAGTCTTCATTCCACCTGCTACCTCAACTCCCTTTGCCACAGAACATGACATATTTGTGGGCTTTGGGGGCGCTGCTCTGCACCACAGCTATGACTGTGGCTATGTCACCCTTCTCTGCCTCGTGTTCCTTGTCTGTAATAGGGGGATAATGGTAGCACCTGCTTAGGGCACCGTTAGGAAACAGTGAGTTGATGTTGGCCAAGTTTCAGAACAGTACCTGAGATGAGGAAGCACTGTAATTTTTTGCTAAGTAATTTCTCCTAGTTCTGGTTGCTGAATGACACCATCTTTCCCCCATTGTGACGCCAGCAGGCATGTCACAATGGGGAAGAGATGCTGATACCGGATTTTTGATACTGGATTTTCAGGCTCTTGGTCTTTACTATTCAATGAATGAATCAACGGACCACAGGATCAACAGTAGGTTAGGTCTTACTCAACAGGTATTACAGCTCTCACAAAGAGCCAAACCTTGCAGAGCAGGATCAGTAGTAAGATAGGTTCTATACAAGTGTCACAGCTCTTACAAAGAGCCGAACCTCCTTGCAGGGTAGGATGTAACTGTTACAGCTCTTGCTCCTTTGCTCTCTCTCCCTCAGAGGTCTGAGGTGATCTGCTCTTGGGCTCTCTGCTCAGGGGCTTATATATGGGCAGTTGTCCAGTGAACTTTTGGGTCTTGAAAACAGACCAATCAGAAGCAGGTTTTGAAAATGTACCAATCAGGGATGCACTGGAGGAATCGCCAGCGTCTTCCCTGCTTGTGTCCGGTTCCTTTGTTCCTTTGCTACTGGAGCCTCCGGTGAGGGGTGGAAAGCTCCCC